AAATTATCAAAAACAATATTGCGGACGCGTTTAAAAAAAAAAAACGTGTCTCGAGATTATGAATTTACACAGAAGGTAATATAAAATATAATATCAGTCGTTGTCAAAAGTCGGCGGCGGACGCGTCCGGGTTGCTGCAACGCATCTGTGGCCTGTGCCGGGTCTGTGCGGTAATGTTGTCGCGTTCGTCGGGCGCGCGCGATACGAATAACGCGATTACGGTCGAGAGGGAGCGACAGAGAGAAAAAACGGTCAAGTCTCGCGTTCCTCCTCCTCCTCCGCCGAACAACAACTACACCGAAGACGATGCGCGGTGGCGGTGGCGACTGGTGATGACGACGGTTCGCGCGGTGCGGTCGTCGTCGTGGTGGTGGTGACTGGTGGTGTGCCGCCGCCGAGTTTTTACGGTTGCAACACTATCGGTATTCGGTACCGGACTTCTGCGACCGTGTCTTCGTTCGGAAGGTATGGTGGCGCGTCCGTGTGCCGTACCAGCGTACCGTCTGTGTACCACCCGGGAGAGACTGTTCACTATTATAATAGTCCTCTATGGGTTTTCGCACGCGGTGGGACGACGACGATCCGCACACCCGCTGATAATAAAATACATTTGCCCAACGGGCGCGATGACGTATGTCGTTTAACAATAAGGACGTGCAGCAGCAGCTCTATACGTGGTGTACAACTACCATATTTTACCTGTGTATAATACTATTAATGAAATCATTGCGACCATAATAGTATGATGTCAATAAGGTTTATATACGAGTATTACGACCATAAAATATCCCAACGCTCGTGAGTCGGCAATACCCGGTAGGCCGAAAGCCGAATACGAATAATGAATATCATAATAGTAATAAAAATATATCATACGCGGCGGCATGACCGGCGCGAAAATAGTCGCGCGTGCGCGCACGACAATAAGCCGACGATCAGTTCGGCCACCAACGGAACGCTGTAATTCCCCGCGCCCGGTGTTTTTCACTCATCGCCCGCCAATCTAACTGCCGATCAACTCTACATAAGAGCCGGTCTTCGCCTGCAAAGAAAATTTAGTACCATCAATTGTGGTACAAATGGTACAATAGTACAAATTATTACTATATTAGACATTTTAATCTTAATGTTATAACTTATAAACTGACAGAGGTAAGTATGGAAATAGTCGGGCGTATGGAGCGTATTATAAATCACGAAATCAAAACTGATCAACTTACTGGTAGGTATAAGTAAAAAAAAACACAACTAAAAAACACAAAACAGACGTCTGCGACCTCGACTCCCCCAGGACATTCTACAAACGGATAGCGAAGACTCATCATCAGAAGAATAAAACATTAAGAACACACTTACACTATATATATCTATAATTTTACTTAACTGCATCAATGTAAAAAATCATGTACTCTGTATAACCCAACCCATTGTTAATAATAATACTTGTTAAAAAACAATACTTGTAATAGCACCCAGTGTGCTGAAACATTTTAAAATTAAATAAATGAAAAAAAGTGCAAAAACTCTCTAATATTTTATTTAAATGAAAACACTCGATGATCTGTTAATCTATACATTTTAGACTAAATTGGTATACCTACTGCAATATATCGTATAAATATTGAAACAATAAACTAATTAGTAATTTGTAAAGAACTTAAGAAACTTTGATAGTCTTTTTTATTTTTAACAGTTATAGGTACTGGTTTTGACATTGGTAAATGGTAGCCAATGAATGTAGGGGGTATCCCAGGTGCTGCTGCCTGTTGATATAAGGCCGCTCTTAAATTTAGGAAAAAATAAATAAAAGTCATGGACATAAAATATGTTTAAATAATAACACATTTTCAAAAAAAAAAATAATGAGTATTAAACAGTCATTCGTTATTTAACATGTGGAACGCCGATGTCAACACGTAGTAACAAGTATAGTTGACACGAGTAACCGGACGCCCATGGCTGGTGTCAACAGATTTTGACCAGCATTCCCACTTTTTTGGTCATACCTTGAAATATTATTTTTTTATAAATTATAGTATTTTCAATGATAACATTTCGTCAATCAAAACATTACTGTACTTACTAGCTGTATTTATATTTTTAACGAGGACGGAGCAAAGGTTTTTATGTGAAGGAAAACAAACCAACATTTTTTGTTCTCCCTATATTTCACTTAGAATTTAAACATTTCGCAAGTTCAGCAAATCGCAGATACATAGTTTTAAAATCAATATGTTTTTAAATATTTTGTTATAGGAATAGAAGTCATGTCAGTAAATGAACTCATTATTCTATATTTCTATAATAATTAGGCATCATTAGTGCTCATAAGAAATTTGAAAGTATAAAGTACGACCTATGTTATTTAATTAAATAATTTTACTCAAAATTAATGATAAAATAATTTTCATTAATTCATTTCATCATAATATTTTTTTTTACAATTTGGAACTAAAAATGAAACTCATTAATTTTCTGAACTCTAAAGGAACGGAAACTTAATATTTATTTAAGAAAAAAAGCACATAGAACAGAATCGATTTATTAATGATTAATTTTATTTCTAAAAGAACTAACTCATTTTTGTGTACATGAAACGTACCAAACCCTATAACACTAATTCCTACTTTCTAGAAATTTTAAGATTTTAATTAAATTTTAACTTTAGTAAACAAAAAAATATTGATTCCTTTTTAAAAAAAATTCTGTTACAGTTAATTCAAATTATAACCAGTTTTAATGTTACTTATACAAAATGCAACAAAATATCTAGGTAGGTATTCATTGTAAATTTTTGTTTAAATATCTATAGAGTTTTTCCAAAAGTTGTACTTCAAAGGCTTAGTAAACAAAAACAATTGTGATGTCTATAATGTATAGTTTAGTTTAGATAATTTTAAATTTTTGAATAAGCAAAACCTATGAAGAATCTTGTACTCAATTTATATTTTATAATAATTTTGACGAAGAAAAAAAATGTAATGTCTATAAATAACTCAAAAGGAGCTGATAATATTTTTAAATTTATGTTATGTCTAAATAATATACCAATATAAATACCTATATTGAAAAATATCAAGTAGGTATCTACAATTATTTGTTTATGAATTTGAATATTTTTGATTTTCCAAGAACTATTATTACGTAAATAGTACAGTTTTTTTTCGTGTTGAGAATTTGGACGCCCCTTCCTCCCCAACAAAAAACAAAAAAATGTTTAAACTATATAGATTTAATTTTCTACCAGAAACCATTCTCAATATTGAATCATTTTATTTGATACGAGGGGTTTTCAGACACGCTGTACTCAAAATATAAATTTAACAAATCAAAACGACCAGCCATCAACTGAAAAAATTACCCGAGTTTTCTAGAATATTTTAAAAAGGGTTCCAACAGATTCCACCTACATTTTCAAAGGGTTTCAGTTCCAGGATACAGGAACAGTAAGTAGGTAATTACCAGGACGGTTCCAATCCATGGACCATGGGCCATGACAATCTAATCATCTAAACCTGCAAGTATTCCTAACAATATTATTTTTTTTTTTTTTTTTTTTAATTGATCCTGAGCCCGGCAACTGAGGCCATTAGCTATTAGTAGGTACTGTAGGTTTTTTTGTATTGATGGTTTGTAGGTTTTTGGAACGGTAGGGGGAACACGTGTGTGTTTGTTTTGGCAGAATTTCGAATGGGGCACCCGTAGGTTTCTGCCATGCCCCGGGGGTGGGGGATGGCAGCACTTGTTCTCCGGTCACCGCGAATTGTCCGGAGAAAAATGCCGCCCGGTGGCCGAGGATCGAACCGCGACCGGCTGCGTCGCAGCGGAAGAGTCAGACCACTCGGTCACCTCGTCCCCCAACAATATTATTGTTTTATATATTATTGCAATATTTATTAAATGATTCGATTTACCCCGGAGAGTCGCAAGACATATACTTGTATTAAGAATGAGCCGGACACATGCAACCGAGAAATAAAGTTAAAAAAATATTTCTTAATGCACATGTGATGACACGAAAAAAATTTACGAAGTAGAACCACTTGTGGATTGAATGTTCTGTATCAATTTTTTCTGTTTTCATGTTCATCCAATTTTCTGTAAACATCACTACACCAGCACAAACCAGGCCTGCATAGATACTATAATAATAACGCTATAAAAGTATTAAATAATAAGTACCTGATAAGTAATAAGACACTTCAGCCATTGGAAGTCAATTTTACATGTACCCGGCTAGTGTTAAATACTAAACATTTGAATGTATTTTAAAATATATACCCGTAGAATAAAAATATAAATGAAGAACTCTTTATAATAACCTATAACTCTATCTGAAAGCAAAATTATAAATCAACTAAATTAATTCTTTAAAAATTATAATAATATAATTTTCCATTTCTTCCTCCATATGGGCTTCAAAAATCAAATGATTTGAGCTTTAAATTTCTTTATTATTTTTCAAGTTTAATCTTTTGTAATGGCTAAGATACAAGGCGGTAGGTCAATAGTTGGGTAGGTAGTATAAATGAAATTTATTGAGATATATTGTACATCCATTCAATAATTAATGTATGTAAGTAAGTACCCAAGACCCAACAATATAACAAAATATTATATTATGGTACAACTATGTGGCACTCATATTGAATTTTATTTCTGTGGGTTTTGGTTATTTAACTGAAATGTTCCTTTTTTTTGTTTTTTTTCTGTAGTCATTTTTCCAAGTACAATGATATAGGACCGTGAATGTGTTAAATACATTACACAAGTTGAACTATATAATATAACAATATAACCTAACTTAAGTACTTGCAACGTGTAAATGCTATGATGAGAGAGACCTTTAAGGTAAGCATTTCAATAAATAAACAAATCATTTCTGATATTTTTTTTCAAAATGTTACAAATTGCAATCAATTTTCAAGTACACCAATAATATAATCTTAATATGACTGTAAAAATCAAAATCACAATAAAGCAAACATTTGTAGTTTATATAATTTATAAAATTGGTATTTAATGCTTAGTAATAATTATCAACACATACATTTATAAACTGTGACTAATAACTACTTGAGAATACTCAATAGAGCTGAAATACATTCAATATTAATCACCAAACTTGTAAACATACTGATATTTTTAAGTATTTAACATTAATGTCAAATTGATGTTGATCTTCTCTTAAATTTATGAAAATGTTGAGGACATTCCTAAAATAAATTTAAGTAATTACATCTTATCATTGGATATGAATATTTAAAAATATAATGGCACAAAAATCCATCTGAATAATTATGAAATTATTAACATTCTTAATGTGTAAGTTGTTTTAAATAATAATGTATTTTCTTCATATTCATTTAGTAAATAAGGGTTATAAACAAAAGGTGTATTTAAGAAAAGGCGATATTTGATATACTCATTTGAAATATACTTAATTGATACTTATATCCAAAATATTATACTCAAGTTAATAAATCAGTGTTTGGAATTCTATTAGTTTAATATTTAATTTGTTATGTTCTTCATTTTACCACAATTAAGTAATGTATTAACAATTCAAAATATTTTAGTCTTCTAATGTGACATTTTTAAATAAATATGACATGGATTCTTTATTATGAATTCTGCGAATAGCTTCTGATAATAAAATACTTATATCCACCGTTTTGATTTTGTGGCATTGCATTTTTTGAATTTCATGAGGAATTGTATTTGTCACAACCACCTATAATAAATAAACATAATGTATTAATTACAAATTTAAACATGCTTATTATTAATTTACTTCATCAATTGGCGAAGATTCAATAAGTCTTGGAGCATCAGAAGATAAAAGACCATGAGTAGCTAGAACATAAATTTTATATGCACCACGTTCTTTCAATACTTCAGCAGCAGCTACAAACGATGCAACATCATCTACCATATCATCCTGAAAAAAACATTTATATTTTTTTAAGAAATCATCATGAATCATGTTGTTGAAAATACATATTTTTTTTTTGCACTGACCACCATAATAGCTATTCGGCCACCAACATCTCCCACTACATTAATAGGAGGTTTTTCTTTGGCTGGATGCTGTGGTACTCCTACTCCAACATCCATCGTTCTTGAACGAGACGATGATGGTGGTGGAGAATTTCTTCCATCAACCATATCGGAATCAGATTCTTTCTGTTCTCCGTGAATAACAGCAATTCCTAAACGTAAACGTTCAGCATATGATGTAGCTTTTTTTGCTGATCCGGGATTTCTTGCAACAATCACTGCATTACGATAATCAGGGATCTATTTAAATTTTTAAAACAGTTCATTAACAAAAATTCTTAATTCTTCTTTCAATAAAAAAAAATATATAACTATAATTTATAATAAAATTATATTTTTAACATAAAGGGTGTATTATGTTCTTGAGTTTGATTTAGTATAGAACTATGAATGTACAGTAACAACCTTGTATTTAAAAATATTATTTAGTATGTTGTTTAGTAATACAATTTGGTATGTTAATATGTTTTAAAACTAGCATTTGGAATATTGGAAACCTACACATTCTTGAATATACTGTAAAAGAAATGGTGATGCTCTCAAATTGTCGACTGGACATTCAAAAAAACCTTGAATTTCTTTCTGGTGAAGATCCATTGTAATCACATGAGTTAAGCCTGACGAACACAACATCTTTGCCAAAAGTTTGGATACAATAGAACCACGTTTTCGCATTTTACCTAAAGTAAAATCAATTATAAATTAATCATGAACGTTTTTTCAGTGTTTTTATTTTAGTACATTGTTTACTGTAGGGTAGATAAGGAATAACTCCAACAATGCTTTTGGCAGAAGAAGTTTTGCATGCATATGCCATGATCAAGAGTTCCATTATATTATTATTTACATCTCTAAAACAATTCCATAGAATTTAATCCATACAACAAGGTTTAAATAATTATTATCTTATAGCTAAATATAGGTAATTAGTAATTACTAAAAAGGCATATAATATGCAAGAGAAATGACAAAATAAAGGTTAAAAGTTATGATGTAAAAATGTAATCATTTAAAAATACAAATAAATAAATACTCTAAGATATTAAGAGATATAATTAAATATTTTTATAATTCAGTGTACATTAAAATTGTATTCAGAGCCAAGTGTCAATGTTTGATGATTTGTGTACTATCTTTATAATAATAATGTGACTACATCGTTATGACATTTAAATTTTAATTATTATTACTTTTTTTTATGCATATATGATACAAATATTATTATATTTAACGATACTAGGTACTAGTTTACTTTAATAGGTTCAAGTAATCAACTTAGAAATGAACCAATAATAATCATACAGAGAATCAGCCAATAAAAATATTTAAAATCAATCATAAAATAATTATAAATATTATAACTTATATGACTTATAATACATAAATATTTAATGTTCTAAGAATGCTTCATTTGTTCATAAGAATTGTTAATATTTGACTAATTAATAAGTATTACAAAATTAAAACAATTAGTAGTATAACTGAATAGTATATTTTTTATAGCAAATTTGAACATAAGCATTTTAAACAAAGTCAATGGCAAGTATAGAAGCTATCCACCTTAGTATTTTCAATAGTGAAGTAAAAAAACAATAGTTTTAAGTAGTTTAAAGAATTTGCATAGCATTTAAATCAGAGATTTCATAAATGATTATATAGTACTTAACAATATGTTTTAAGCGGTTATTTAAAAAAACATTACTTAGGAAAAATATGTGTTATGTATTAATATCTAATATTTGTTTGTAAATTTATTTATTCAGTTTTATATAAAACCAATGGTAAGTTTGAAAAATATTTTTTGCTTCCTTAAACTGTTATAGTATCAACAGTCAACACCTAGTTAATACATTTGTTAAGCAGCCAACTAATATAACTTATTTTTAGCAAATTTTAATAAAATTGCCAAGAAAACTAACAGTTAATAAAACAAACAATCATACAGAATGGATGGTTTCACAACATTTTAACAGATATTTTATATCTCGTGTGTTTTCAAATGAGAACAAACTGCTGTTTACAATCCAGAAAATCCCAGTGATAATATATAATATAATAATATAGAATATTATATATTATATTAACTAAGGAAAATCTAAGTTGTACAACAGGTATTATGAGAATTTATGTTTGTTTTTATAATTGTAAATGGCAAATACATTTACATCACAATGCCTGCCTCCTATTTAATGGTTACAAAAGACTTCTAGTATCAAATTAATTATAATTCAATTATTAATACATACTTTGAACCAGTTTGAATAATGTATATGTCTTTTCCACGTACAGAATCACTTATTTGGACAGATGTTTCTCGGTTTGTGGTATAAGAAACGGCGCAACGAGCCGGTTTTACACCAAGTCGACTGTGAATATAATATTTTAAATAACACCATTTCTTGTGAAAATAAAAAAAGTGTATAAATTATAATTACCGAGCGACCAAATTGGCTAATTCGAGGTGCGAATTTCCGCTAATTATCATGATATCCGTCGATGTAGCAATGTCCATGATGATTAATACGTTTGGCCGCCTTCGAAAAGTATTAAATATTTCCAAATTGTTTAAAAAAATCGACAACTAGACGGAAATACTTGCAAACACCCAATGGCTCATGTGTAGAATTATAGAATAATATTAAACATCGAGGTTTGATCGATTTGAAAATAAATGAACTTGATAAGCCTAATTTTTATTTTTTATCAGCAACGTCGGGGATCAAAGACGTTGTATTGTTATGGCGATAGCAGAGGCGGCGCACTTGTTGATTGTAAATGAATTGTTTAAAAATCAAAATCAAAACAATATATTTTATGTTTTTTGACCTTCGTTTATTGTCGTGTATAAAAATGATATAATACTGCAATGTACTTTATTGTTGGCAATTTGTTATATTATTCGCCGCTTTATTTTTTTTTATTGTGCATCTTTTTAGATTTTAGTACTGTCTTTGGCGCGGTACATGGTATACTGAACGTTACTGAACTTAACTCATACGATCACGAATTGCATCCGTGACTGTAGATATTAATTATAAATATTATAGTTATATAACAGGATAAATGGTTATAACTTATAACATTAAAATCATTACCTATCTAAAATTGTTTTTCGCAATAATTAAAAGTCGAACGGTCTGCCATGTTATCGGTTTAATTGCATAATTGTTAGGTATTATTTTTAATTTATAATTATAGGTAGGTACTTAGTACTTACTATATTTATACCTAAATAATATGGGTCACCGTGCGTCGTGCATACGAATTCAATAATAATATGGAAAAACTGAACAGACATTGAAGGTAAAACATTAAAACAATGATATTCGCATAGAGATTGATTTCGCACAATGTAAATATTTCTGACTCGAGTAAGTAGCTACTTAAATTGAAAAATTATTGTAACTATCAAAAATTATCAAAGTATCTTATTTTATATTTTTGACACGAGATATTGCATAAGATAAATCACATTGACTGCCATACTGTATGACCGCGGGCTCTCATCTGCAGCACGCATATTTGTCAATGGAATATTTTTCTTGGCGTTTGACTAATAATGAATATTTTTTTATGATGATCCGAGGAAAACATTTTGCATCGAACGATTTATAAGTTGCCTTAGACATATTCAAAACTATACACTCAATATTTTGTCAAATCATACTATTTTTAAACATAATGAATCGGAAAACTTAATTTATTCAAAATGCATGGCATCGAAAAAAGAACGTGGTCCTGTAGGAAAAACACTCATTTGACCGTGAGCGGTCGCAAAGCAGTCAAAATGTTTTAGAGGTAAACACCAATTATCTCAAAATACCCTACTTTATATTAGGAAATATTTTTTTTTTTAGACGATTTAAAACCACCACTAAATAATAATCATCATATTTACAAAATCAATATTTTTACTTTTTTAAAAGACTGCATTTATTTTTAATTTCAGACTACGGAGCGGAATATTTTCTTTGAGAATTTCGAAATTCAATATTACATTTTGAACGAGTATAAAATTAATTAGTCCATAAGTATTTTTGAAGTATATCCAGTGATCACAGTATAGTGCCGGATATTTGGCAGGGTTAGGGATGCCACTCCATGTGAAATACTACATGTAGTACTACATTAATCAACATTTTAAATACCTAAGTACTCATAATACTTTTATAACCGGTCGGGGAAGTCCTCGGACTCAATTGAAGTGAGTAAAAACTAAAGGTTTAAATCCAGCATTTGCATAGGTATAGCGTGTATATGTTATGCGATAACTAGACGGAGACAACACACATTTTGTTAGAGAACGTATTAAATATAATAATATAATAATTTTTTTACAATTATTATATTAAAGTGAATGTTTACAGAAACAGTTCAGTTACATAAACGTGTTGCGGCCCTATAATAATATTATGCGAGCCGAGCAGCGTTCGTGCAATCCTGCACATTTCTGGCGTGGTTTATAATTAATATACGCTTTACGACCTATACGCTGAGTTTTAACCAGAGTCCGGAAATTAGGGTCGGAAAGTGTTTTAAACGAGTGTTTAATGACCAACGTTGTGAATTTAAGAGTTGAGTTTATTTTTGTACAACATAATTTTATTTTAGGGGATTCGATACCGACCATTTTTAAGGAGTTTAAAATAGGCAATTCCCTAAGTGTGTGCGTGCAGATCGTGTACATAGATGAGTTGTAAATAACCATTATATTGTATAAGTCTGAATGACTGAGTAAAATAAATATCGGAGCGCTCTTGCACGTGCACGCTGCAAATATTGTCGATAACGTGCCACACGGAAATTAAAAAAAATTAGTAGAAACACACACGAGATTGAGTCTCCTGAACCCACAATTTAATTAGACACCAACAAACCCAAATTTGGTGCTATATTTTGCATTTTTTCAAGATTTATTTAGCCTTTTTAGTTTATATTTTTCCTTTCATTCCACTGATTAACAATTTTCCGATACTATACTAACCTAACCTAACCTAACCTAACGTACATCATCCTTAATTGTTGTCTTTATTAACATTTGCAAACATTCAGTTTCAGCATAATTTGGTAAAATTATTTACATTTTATGCTCAGTTCGATACCTATATACATTATTGAGAAAACGTTGTGAGGAGATTGAGGAGACTTATTATTTAAAAGTTTAAAGTTGAACTTATAGTTCCATTTCGACGTGTATAACTAATTATATAATCTTAGAATCAAATAGAACAACTAGATACCATCTGCAGGCTGAAACCGATTGTGTGCGGGGGGAGAGGGGGTGCAGCGTAGTTCGGACACCCCTGAACAAGGACTATCTATATACGGTCATAAACGAGCTTCAGATCCGCCAATGATTTGTATATTGTATATATATATATATGTACAAGTTAGATAACACAGCGCGATGATCATACAGCTGCAGCGCAGATAAAAAACTGCTGGCCTTATGTTATAAACCGTTGGCAGCCAGCAGAGGGACCCGCGAGGCCGCAAGTTGGTACGACTACGACAACGACGCCGCCGTCCGAGCGCTTCGGCGAACGCCCACCCCAAATCGTTAAGGCGCAACCCTCTCGCGTTGACACGATACATATAATAATATATATTTTCAACGTATATTTATACATATATATATTGAACAGCGAGCGGCGGGGTGGGTGGTCGCGCCGGGCGGGACACAACGACGATAGCGGTGGCCTAGCACGCCTGCACCCCCCCCCCCCCCCCAACATCACCCCCGCGGAGCCGTTGCGAGACGAGCGGCGGCGTCGTCGAAAAATCAATGAGCGCCGTTATCTCGGCAAAAGCTCTCTCCTGGCCGCCGCCGCCGCCGCCGTCGCCTCGTCGCGCGTTTGATAATACGCGAGTTTTGTACACAAGCTGCAAAAATACCAAAACAAAGGAACAAAACGAAACGAAACCCTCCGCTGGCCGCACACTATACACGGGACGGAGCAATATCATAACAATATATAGGTACGCACAGCTGCTATAGTGATATTATTATACAGTTAAATATTGTCTATCAATCATATCTAATATATTGGCCGCCGCGACCTCATTAATAATTATTACAAATAATATCGCGCAAAAGTCGGCCGTCCCGCGTATCGTGTCCGTCTCGCCGGGAACGTTTCGGTTCGCCGTCGTCCACGATATTATAATAGTATACAGATCGTAAACCGTCGTCGTCGATCGTTGCAAAGATGGATGCTGGTCCGCAAGCCTACGGGGCCGGCAAAGTCGGTGGCGAGTTCAACGTCCAAAACTTTGTCCGCAAGCCGCACGTGTTCGTCAGGCTGCTGTCGTTGGTACGTACGATGTGAATATTAAAAATATAATATTTTGACAATATTTAGCCTGTATACAGGCGCACACGTGTACCGTACGTTATATACGTGAATCAGTGCAATACAAGCACAGGGCCAAGTATATGTTATGTCTTGTGCTGCTGCTGCTGCTGCAAGGACGTGACCATATGGGACATTGCTCTGGGCCCGATATCGAGTGGGGACGTTCAGCGTTACACGACTTTTAAACACTATTGCAGTCTGACGTGGGAGGGGGGCCCATATTTTAATATTCGCCGAAGTACGAATAGTTTAAAAAAATATAAATATTTTATGATTTGTGAGTGAAATAAACGCAATTATCACTATGCAGTATACATAGTGTTAATAATACGACGTTCTTTTTTATCGAACAACGAAGATTTCAAATTTCAATACTAATATTTTATTACGTGATTTAACCACGAATAATTTTATAAGCGAGTAGGTACATAAGTACGCGAGAGTATATACATTTTTTAATGTGTTGTGCAAAATCGTCATTAGGTTACTGCTCGGGTTATTTGTATTGTGCATTTACATATTTTTACCGTTCGATCACATATTGTGTGCCAAGTAAGCACAAAACATGTTTCATGAAAGAGTGATTAAAAATGCGAATTCTTTTACAGCATATTATTAATTGTGCATACTTCAAGATCTTCAAGGTCATATCAATTGGTTTTTTTATAGAATATTGCACTGGTTTGTTACTTGACGTGCAAATTCGAAAAAATGAAAACAAAGATTTTAACAAAGACTGTCAATTCAGTTGTAGCACAAAACATAAACTCCCCCTAGTACCTATACTTCCTCTGCAATTATTTTTTTTTTCTGTATTTTACCAAGTACCTATGCCCTATGGGCAGGTTTACTATTTTTATGGAAATGATACGGTAGGTTATACATTAATCAACAACAAATCAATAAAATATATATTGCAGCTGAAACGTGTTTAATTTTCATTCAAGACCAAAATAATAACTTTATTTTTTAAAAACATGGTTTTAACGGGCATATTATAATATTATCACTGCAACACGGCCATTTTTGGTGCATAAACGCATATTTTTAAGAACACATTCCGTGATTTATATATAAATCCCGACTTTTTACTCATAGCATATTAATATACTGAAGTGATTAGGTATACATATATATATTATATATAAATATTATAAGGCCATTAAGGGCCCATCCATTATTCTGGAACCGTGGATTGGTAAATCGGGCCTTCATAATTAATAATAATATATGCATACTAAACACATATGATATATACTATAGCGCGCGTATTATATTTTTTCCGTCTCCGTCGACCCATGTACGATCATGATCCGCAGATGCTTGTCGCTGTCGTCACGCGTTATTATAACATTTATAACCGTATAAGGTTAGTATGTGGCTGCCCATTAGAATAATATAAAATGTATAAGTGGGCGGGGAATCGGATTTATAACATTACCAGCAGTGTTGTAATAATGCCGTATATAGAATGTCTTTGCATCCGACACGGGAAACATATAATAGCGCGAAATTTCACTGCGCCTACGCAAAGTCAAAATCGTGGCTCCGATTGATATCGGAGCTTGAAATGTTAACTCCTGAAGCAGTCGTTCAACTCAAAAAGGATAATATTTTCGAGATGTAATGCATCATACGAAGGAGTTACAGTTATAGTTGTTATAATTTATGCTATTGTATAATATGACTTTAGACGCTTACGTCATAATCAAAAAAATAGCTTACAGCGCTATTTTAATTATATTTAATTTAGATTTTGATTGATGGAGTTTTCTGTATAAGTACTGTAGCATATTTTGTTAGATGGTCGGAGACAATATTATAGTATATATATACACACACGGGTATACTAACTTACTCCTCTAAAACCATAATATTAAATAAAACTAAATATGTTAAGCTACATATTATCAGAAAAAGAGTGTGCTGCAAAAGCTTCTATGAATCGATGTGCAAATGTCGTAGGAGGTGAACGGCAGAGTATTGACGTGCAGTTTAAAAAAAAAAGTGAAGAGCATCATATCCTTCAACTGCTCCATCATCACTTCAAACCACAGTATAATAGACGTATAGTCCTCCAAATATATGAAAAATCATTACAATATTTCAATACGGCAGTATATTATTATATTTTGTATAGGTGAAATGTAAAATATATGAATACTTACCAAATGGTTTGAGGATTGCATTCAAGACACTGAAAAAGCGTGCATATTTAAATTCACTTTGTAATATATTTTTTTAATTCAATAATGTATAGTTAGAAAAAACTTATCAAGGAGGTATAGATTACCTGGTTGGAGTAATGCGAAAGTAGTTATCCGTCCCCGGTTCTCAGTTTAAAAAAAAAGGTATTGTTTATATAAGTATTGACCTAAACGGTACGATTAAAAGCACGATAAGGCAAGTTTGGTATAAATAACCACTACCTATTAAAAATTGAATAGTTAAGAGCGAGAGCGGATATGGTCAGTTTTTACTTATCATTATGACGTAATTTCTTTGTTATCGTAAATATAGTAAACTGAAATTAAAAAAAAATAATGATAATACATTTAAGTAAAGTAAAGGGATAATATAAGTACGAAATGTAATGTATATAATATATATATTTTATAAAATATAATAAATAATGATGAACGGAATTTCGAAATATGTATATTATGTTTTCCCTACTTTTTGTGATAAACAAAATAAATATGAATTATATTTATGATTATTATTATTTTTCTTTGGCAAAATAAAAAATATGTATCTCAACTATTGAACTATCTGCTGATTCTGAGCGGAGCGATGAATGCATTGATGTTACAATGATGTGAGTTTTTTTTTTCATTTTTTTTTTGTGTCTGTCATCACAGTTTGGGGGATCGATTTTTTTTAAACAGCAACTTTCCTCATAGGAAAGTGAATTTAGTTGGTGTATTCGGGAGGTCAAAATTTAAAATTTACAATAGTTGTCAAAAGCGAAAGGAAAAAAAACAAAAAAATAAGGAATACCGAGAATTTTAGTTTTTAATGTAACTCTAAAAAAATGACTATAGACACATGCAATTTTCACTAAATGTTTGTGTTAGCATTTACTATACAGTATACACTATAAATTGTTTTAAATATTTCGACTCATGTTGAACTATTTATAATCATATGAAATTTTCGATTATTTACTTTTTTTAAACTAATGTCGATAAATAATTGTTCGCTCTATCCAAAAATTTGAAAATTTAATACAAGGTTTCTCGTAAGTTGTTGTTAGTGGAAATTAAAAAAAAAGTTGAGCTTAAATCCACAATAATTTTGCGTTTGAATTCAGAATGCTGAAAAAATTCGTAAGAATCACGAAAATTTGTAAATTATTTTGAGTTAGAAATCATAAAAATTTTTCTTTTTATATCTAAGATTTAAAAATGTTATACAAGATTCCTCATAAGTTTATCTATCTTTATCACAAATAAATAATTCTACCGGAAAGTCAAATTAAATTTTTATGAGCGTTTGAAGTTGACATTTTTACAACATTGGATATTCACTCCATTTCTCATACAGCGATTTTTTTATTTTTTTGTAATTTAAAAACCAATAACTACAGATACTTGAAATTTACACCATATGTTTATATTATCAATTCCTATACTTTATACAATTTTAAAAATCAACTAGTTTTGAGCTGTTTACGGAATTTTCAATTTTCAAAAAAAAATTTACTAGTTTAGCTAAGAGTTGAACATTTAAAACAAAGTTCCACACAAGTAAGCTATTCTGTAAACAAAAAGTCTAAAAATATATAAGCATAGTTTTTTTTTTTAGTTTTTTTATGTGTTAATGTGGACGAAATTTACATATTAAATTACCAAGAATAATGATTTGTGTTATTTTGTTGTAAATTAAAAATATTATTCGTAAGTACTTGAAACTTTTAAAGTATATTATTATATTTTATACACACAATGACTTTTCAAATGTTTTTTCGGCAAAAATGAATTTAATCTACTGCGTAGTACTAATGCTTACTAGTAAAATAAATTACTTTGATCACAATAACAATATCATCAAAATATATATTAAATTACTAAGTAATATTATAGACTGACTGACAGTCTTCGCTCAGAATTGTTTTTCGCATACAATGATTTTATATCATTGAATTCAAATTTAACACCATTCACTATAGTGACCCACTTGTAACTTATTGTACAGCAGAGCGACATCCACTTACATGCTTTTTCTAAAATAATATTTGTTATAATAAAAGTCGCGAGTTAAGTACGTTACACCTTTTAAGTTTGAAAAGTAAAGTGGTGAAAGTATGTAAAATATTACATAGTTTAATAGTTACATTTATCTTCAAAATGATCATGAGTTATTCAGTTAGATGTTTAGGGAAGTTTTTATCAATACATATTACTATCTTATTTTGGACGAAACAATTCTAATGTATACGTTTTTAATACTAAACAGACATTTAAATACATACAACAATTATTTTGATTTCATTAAGTGCTCTTTTTTGAGTTTAATTTATTTGTTATTGACCCATTTTACTGAGGGCCGAGGGACTCTACAGTAAATTTTTACCTTTTTAGGAATATTAATAGTATTAACCTTTGTTACGAATCATCAAATTAAGTTACTATAACTAGTACCTAGGTAGGTATAGACGTAGGTTAAAACAATTGAACAAAACTAAACAGTTAGATACATGTTTTCGGTGACCAACTTGGTCTGCGATGAACTTTCTGTGAGAAGAACTTAAGTTTTACCAAAAACTGTCAAAGTATATTATAATATTATTGTCTCGACACTAATGTTTATCAATTATATATTATATATTTTCTTATCTTTAAATAATTATTTTGTGTCATATAATTGTTTTAGTTGTTTGGTTTGATCGTTTATTTTTGTGCATCATCTGGCTCATGGACTACAGACACAAAAACCAACGAGGAAGTATGCATGTTCAAGCTTAAGAGTTTTGGATGTCACATTGGTGGCGTGGTGGGCTTTACGTCAGTTATCGGAGCAGCTGTATTTGTCGGCGGCGAGTATTATTTCGAAAACGTGCCGTCGGTAAAAAGCCGCAAACATTACGTGCTCATCGACCTTGGATTCTCGTGTAAGAACAATCGATAAGCGAATATATTATAAAACTAAACTCTTGACACGTATCATTAACTTACGTAGAGTTTAGTTACTATAATTTATTTTTAGTATTTTATAAACGTTAAATAGATTTAAAAATAACTCAACAATTGTTGTTGCGTTTTATCTATACGCCATTTTGTTACATTAAAAATGTGTTTTTACGCTGGTTCCTATTGATGTAGGTAGATAACATTGTTAGCAATAAGATCTGACAATTATGTAAGTCATATAAATATGTAAAAAAAAAGATCAAATTTTTATGAGCGACATTATCACCTAAGGTTTTTACTATGACCAAATGTGATCATTTAACAAAGTATGGATTAACTATTTTAATTTTTGTTTTCGAAAGGTGAAAGTAATTTTAGTTCAGTATTGACGCTTAAGATTATACACCTATATATAGTAACATTTTATAATATTCAAGTTGCTTCTACATAAACTTGCAGAACTAGATTCAATTATTTCAATAAGTGGTTAAAGTTAAAAAATCCTCTATTGAACATTATACTAAGTCAAACGTTAGATATCGTTTAGTAATGATCAATTTAATATTTTAATTTTAATTTATCACCTCTTTTAATTGTATCTAAATAAATAACATGTTTATTTTTAGGCGAAAGTAGGCAAAATATTCGCATCACATCCGTACCTTCTATTAACATATGTTATTGCATTTCAGGTCTATGGTCGTTTTGGAATTTTTTACTTTTCATTTATCTAGCTGATACATGGGGTAATACACCTGATTTCCCTGATTCAATTAGCACTGCCAATCCAACCACTGCCATTTATTTTGCATTATTCGCTACTTTTTCTTGGGTAAGTACAAAATTATTTTGTGTTTCATGTATGTGTTACAACTGATTAAAATAATATAATAGTATAGCACATCACAGTATAGTCATTTATCACTTACGTGTTTGATTAAATTTTGTTATAGGGGACTTCTGCATACTTCTCATACCAAAGATATAATATGGGTGTCGATCCAGCATTTATATCATCTTTTGAAGCCGATCAGTTTGGAGCATACGACGAAACGCAAAATAACAGTAACAATGAATGTCCGTTTAATAAACAGATGTCGGGTATGAGTTAATATAATTTCGAGATTCAAAATTTAGATATTATAAATATTATTTTTGTTTACACCACCATACATACATACATATTACCCTACATGGCTTATGTGTTAATACGTCTTCATAACGATTCGAAACCGTTAATGAGTAATGCTAGTTCATATTTTTTTTGTCTTGAATCTAGTTATTAGTTAATATATGACAGAGTTAATATATGACAGGGGCGGATAGCCATTTTTTGCTATAAGTGGAAAATGTTTGAAAGGCCATGGACGAATATTGCTCAAATGCCACATCACAAATAGCAGTAACTAATTCGTTGAACATATATATTTTTAATTTTATGACATTTATCTATTTAAATAATTTAGTTACTCTCCGCAAACATTTTTTATTACTTATTCGCATATACAAATTAACAATATAATAAAATTATAATTTTTAGTTTTAACTTAATATTTATTATATAAAAATACAATTGCCTATATAAAATGTTTATACATAAAATATATATTGTATAATATTTCAAATACAATTCATCGAAAAAAGAACGTAGTTCCTTCTTGGGCCTCGAGGCCACCAATAGTTAGGGCCCAATTCCAAAGTGAGAAAATCCCCATTCACATAGGCCTACCCAGCCTTATAATAGGTATATATGTATGAGGTATTTATGTCAAATGTAAAGAAGAGAGAATATTATATTAGCTTACAAGATATCATATTAAGTTATACTCAACTTAAAAATACTTATTATTACTATAGTAAATTATTGTATTTATTTATTTGTCTTATAATCTAGGTGAATATCAAACTCAAGCTTACTAAGTACACAATCAGTTTTTCAACGATGATACTGAACATGCCAGCAGATTGTGTTTTTACCAAACATACCAAATTACTTATCGCCGATGGTATTACTGGTTTTATTACTTCACAATAACTAAACAACGTATCTTATTGAATAGTTATAGTTGCGAGTAGTATCAATTTTTTTGAAATCTGTAACAAAATGATTAATAATTATTATGATAATATGTAATTTTTTTTTTCTTGATATACTTATTATATCATTACATTTTTCAACTAATATTCTATACATTATTGTTGTTGTCCATTTAAACAAACATAAGTAAATCTTAGTAAAAAATAATGTGAAATAATTATTGGTATTGTTAATAGTTTTTTTCTTTAAATACAATTATTAATATAACATGCGTCGATGAAAGATAAAAACGAAGAATAATGCATCATGGCGCTAAGTTTAACGATACAATTTTTAGGGGTTATAAGCTCCATAACATAATATGCATAGATATGTGTATGTATATTATACTGTTATAAGTAACGTACAAAAAAAAACAAACATTATTCTAATCAATCTCTATAATAATAATGTTCTCTTTCTAAAATATAAGTGACAAACATTTTTTTTCGAAATAAATATAGAAGCAATTATTACCCATATCAAAATGTCGCAGGCAATATTAGAATTTAGTTCTAGGTATAGAAATCATATTATAGTAGTAGATACATCATCATGATCAATATAATAATTATTCTGTGCGATTATTTCGAACGCATTTCTGTTTTGCCGTATCAGTATTTTGTCGGTAGATACCTCCTATATACCTACCTATCTTAACATTATAATATATATTATACTATTATATAAATTATTAATCAACTATTAATATTAACATAATTACTATATTATTATTATTACATACAAGTGTTGACGCGCATATATATTATATATTTTTTTTCTTAAAATATATTTGAAGTGATGAGAAATATATATGCATACGGATTATTTATGTTGTGGGTTTTGATTACCTATATGTTTCTTTATAGCTAATAAAACGATGTGTTCGATGTCTTGATCAAGAATAATGAGTTTTTATATTTTTATTCATGATTTTTTTCCCTCGAAAGTTGAGGAGTTTACTGCATAACGGAAACGGTTGTACCTACCCGATTATGTAATTTTTCTTAACCCAAAAATAACGTTGTTTTCAACATTAGAGGACAACTCACAATATACGCCTAAAGAAATTGTGTATTACAAGTGATGAATAAAAAATATTACCTATTGTAAAAAACATAAGTAATTCGACTTTTAAAATGTTTTTGTTCAATTAAAAGTATTGATAAATAATAATTTTAATTTTTTAATCCCAGAGTATTTTTTAATAGCAATGGCGTTTAGACTATATTGGTATTTCATTTGAAATATGCTAGTTTTTTTAGAGTTGATTTTTTGCACAAACATTTTTAATTTTTACACTTTTCCGGGGTGCCCCCCCTCCTCATGGGATTCTTTCTATCTCCTGTCCTTCTATTTATTTTTGTTCTCATTTTACATAATTTGCTCATTGTGTTCCTATAAATGCAGATTGTAAGTGAGTCTTATTTTGTGACAATAAAAAGAAACAAAAGTTTAAACCTCCATGCCTTCCGTAATACATTACTCATTGTAGTTTACAAACTCTATATTTATTATTTGATAGAATTTAAGTGTTATCTAGTGCATGGATAATTGATAAAATATTTTTCAAACGGTTGTGGCTCATTGCCCGGGATACTATGGAAACCTTTAAGTCATTAGTTCTTGTAGCTGAACATAGTTTCCAACTTAGAAGTTTGTGATCACATTAAAAAATGTACACCGATAAAGTCTGATATTTCGTGACGTTTAACATTTAAAGGAGTTATCCCGTGGGAACAAGGTACCTACAGAATAGGTCCTACACATATCACGTATCAGTTTGATACGAGAGTTGATATAAAAATCTTAAAAATTAAAAAAATTTATAAAGCGCAGTTTCACCTAAGCATTTATATTTTCTTCAACTGGACCATCCGGGAAGTACATATTCTGGTTTTAATATGGTATTAACAATTCGTTTTTCTCATCTACGGTATGTTAGGTACATGTTTAAATATTTTGTATTTTCATAGTTGGAAATCGATTGATCTTCATTTTATGTGGTATATATTTATTTATATTTGTTGGTCTTTTTTATGTAATTTTCTATTTTTATCTGAAAATATATTATATAAACAAAAAGAATAGATTTTTAAGAAATCCATATTTTTGTTGTTATCGCAGTTACATAAATATGCAGTTAATTCATTAACACGTCCTTTGAATAACTTTGAGCAAATCTGCTTACATTATAAATTCATCAAAATACCATATTTTCTTGAACACAAAAATGTATAATTTCCATGTATTTAGTCAAATACTCCTTATGCATAAAATGTTTCAAAAATAATATTGTTAAATTATTATTTATTTATTATAGCCATAACTCTATTTATTCATTTCTCAATATTAATAATAATAGATAATAATAACAATAATGATATTACCTTATACTTTTTCCAAATGTTCCACGTCATGTTTGGATTCAATCGTGTTGAGTTTTTCCAATGAATTACGATTAAGATTATTTTGGTCCAATTAAAGTTTTGTCAATTTTCTTGTTCTTATTTGTACACATTATTTAAAATTGTTTTATTATTTTTTTTTTTTTTAAGCCACTTGGCGTCATAATTATCACGACGTATTTATGGTATATTATATAATATGTATGAATAAATAAATAATAAACCATATAACCTTATACCTGATATACCCGCATTTCATTAATAAGGTTCTAGTTGCGATAAGTACCAATAGTGTCCCATTCCCTTTTCGGCAATTCCACCAACATACGAGTAAAATACTAGATTTTCCGTGATATTGGGAGTTTGAGTACTTTTGCAAGAGATTATTATCATTTATCAATAAGTAAACACGTGTTTAGTTTACAATTATAAAATGATTATTATATTTTATTTAGTACTTTACTATATATTATGTTTAAAGACGAATGTTATAATAACTGAATAATATTCGAGGTTGCCCGTGTTGATGGTGAATGTTGACCTGCCTGCTGTGTGACATTTTAATGAGCAATAATTGGGACGGTGTCGAAAAGTTTCGAGAAGCAATATTTTGTGTCGGTAAATTTCATAGTGTAATTCATAGTATAATTTATGTAGGAAATATGTATAATGTATATGATACATAAATGTTACATCTTACATCCACCAAATTAAATACCTATTTAATTATTCCGTGTTTCTGCCAAAAACAGTTTCTACATAAATTTCTTAAATAATATGTATTATATTTTTCTAATTTTACAATAATGTTTATTTTAGATTCTGAGAAATTTTCGCTGGAAATAAAAAAAAAAGTTTAAAAGCTATTATACAGAAGTCAGAAAGCTTATTTAAAATACAATAGAATACTGAAAAACAGTTTATTGCACATTTTAATAAATACAATATAATATATACCTAGATGAAATAAAATAAAAATCATTTTTTTACTGTAAGAATAATAAAACCGTGAGTTTGTCAGATGTAGTATAATAATATAGTCAAGAGAAAAAAGTTAATCATTTTTTTTATTTTTTTTTTTATATAATATTAAAACAACGTCAATATTTCACTGAATCTAGAGTAATCATTATTTTAAAATTAAAAAAAAATACACAATGTACAATATATTATACATTTATATGATGGAAACGTGTTAGGCCTTTACTCTCAGTCCTACACTCCTATTACTATTTTAGTGTTACTGTAGTTTACTAGTTTTTATCAGTTCCGAGTAAACAGAGACAGACATAGAGAGAGAAAGAGAGAGAAAGAGAGAGAAAGAGAGAGAGAGAGAGAGAGAGAGAGAGAGAGAGAGAGAGAGAGAGAGAGTAGCTTTAGCAGGTTAAAGGAGTAAATACATTTTAGGAAGTTTGAAACATGTTTTTAAAGTTTCATGTACAGCATATGCAATATGCTCGGAAACTGGATGTTGATCGTACTTCAAATCTGTCAAAATTATAAAATTCTCATTAATTTTCGAGAAAATCGTAAAAGAACTGTTATAATAGTAATATGTTTACGGTCAAAACCCATAACTGCACGGAGAGCTCCGTTCGGAATCGGTTTTTGACTGTAATGATTAATCGTTTTTAGATTTAAAATGACAGCACACTTTTAACACACCCGTCCTTGTAACAACCTATCCGAAACGTGCAATTACCACTAAGCCAAAATCACTGTCAATGTTTAACGACACGAAAGAAGGAACACATAATATAATATGTAATTAAAATCAATTTTTTTTGAAAACCTTTATTACTATATTTAACTTCTGTAATAGTTTTATCGTTTATAATAATACAATACCTATAATATAAATTACAACATTATTCCATGATAATAAAATAATTATTACCTTTTTAACTACTCTAATTTTAACAATAGTTTTGCCTTTTCAGAAATCGGTGATATATTATATTTTATAATAATATTTTATACTTATAAATTATCATAATAATAAGTACAACAATAAAATGATTACAAAGAAATTAATTAGATCATTTGTAAACCTAATGGGTTATGCTACCGAGGGTCTTTTTTATCGATAAAAAAAAATTATTACAAGAATGATGAAATTTAAATTTAAAACGAATACTAAAGGTGGCTTATTTGGAAGTTAACCTAATTATTTATACTTCACGGTAGTTCTTATTACAATTAGGCATAGGTACATATTTTATATAACTTAAGATGAAATGTTGAAATCATAATTTTTACATTACTTTTGTAAATTATTATTGACGATGTTAAGCATTTTAGGTAAGATTTATAAGGAATTCTTATAGTATATGATAATACCCATTACCTAGCAATTGAAAATTTTTACCACTTCTGAGTGTGCATCGGAAACAAAATGTATATAATGTGTTTTCAAAAATATTATTATTACACCGCACTGTCGTTCCGCTTCGATAAGTTTGAATATTGTCTACAGCACTTTCTATATTGATCCGACAGTTGGAGTAATGCATAATGCAGTACACTCCAAATCATCTTTGGGTTCAGCGGTCGAA